TTCTTTCTTTCTTTCTTTCTTTCTTTCTTTCTTTCTTTCTTTCTTTCTTTCTTTCTTTTTTCTCTCTCTTTCTCTTTCTTATTTTTTAAGGTTTATTTTTATTTGTGTCTATGTGAGTGGGTCTGTGTGAGTGCATGCCACGTGTACAGGTGCTCTTGGGGGCCAGAAGAGGGCGTTGGACACTCTGTAGCAAGAGTTACAGGTGATTGTGAGAGCAGATGTGGGTGCTGTGTGCTGAGCTGTGTACTGAACTGGAGTCCTCTTGGAAAGCAGCAAGTACTCCTAACCCCTGAGCCATCTCTTCAGCCCCACAGCTAGCTCTCTCTCTCTCTCTCTCTCTCTCTCTCTCTCTCTCTCTCTTCTCTCTCTCTGTCTCTCTCTCCCCCTCCCTCCCTGTTTTTATTTTTGTTTTGTTGAGACAGGGTCTCACTATGTAGCCCTAACTGGCCTAGAACTCACTATGTAGACCAAACTGGACTGGAACTCAAAGAAATCCACCTGCTTCGCCTCCTGAGTGCTGGGATTAAAGGTATGCACCACTATTGTGTGCTTGGCATGTTTTTCTTAAAGTCTTTCTTTGGTGCTGGAGATAGAAGCCAGGTCTTGGGCATCCTAGGCAAGTGTTCAGCAACTGGGCTGCACCCCAACCCTTTCAAGTGCCATCTTTAGATATTTATTTTTATTTTATGTGTATGAATATTTTCCCTGCACGTATATACGGGCATCTCATGCAGTGCTTGCAGAGACCAGAAGAGGGTGTCAGATCCCCTGGAACTGGAGTTATAGACGGTTTTTTAGCTGCCATGTGGGTGCTGGGAATGAAATGCAGGTCCTCTGCAAGAGCAGCCAGTGCTCTTAACTGCTGAGCCACCTTTCCAGCTGCTTAAAGGACTTTTTAATGTCAGGGGCAGACATACTGAAAGACAGACAACAGCACAGCAGGCGCTCTGAGGAAAGTTCAGACCCCAGCACCTGAGACAGACAGAATGGCAGGGCCTCTAAGGAGAGGAATGAGAGCCCAAGTGGCAGACGTGAGGTCTCTTCTTCTACCTCTGAGGACAGAGAGCTCACAGCACAAGCCTCAGCCAGGCTCTCTGATTCCTAGGCACGAGGCAGGCAGGATGTGTGGCCACCAATACCCCCTTTGATATAAACTCACTTGCCCAGGTGAGAGATCCTGGCATAGTTAGCTAGGTCTGTTAGCTAGGGACTCACAATGCTCTCAGTGTCTGTGGAATGGGAAAGTCTACAGTAAGGTACTGTGGCCTGAGCAGTCACATTTATTCTTACAGAAATTCCCTGTCTGAATGAAAGCACAGCACTGATTCACTGACAAGAACCTAAAAGCAATGCGCGGGCCTCCAATGGGGATCAACTCTGGTACCAGGATTCATGCGCCAGAGCTCACTGTGGGTCTGGTGGAAACTGGCTGTGTTCTGGTGGAGCCCCTGCTGGTTTGGCTCACCCCACTGCTCTCTAAGAACTCCTTCCAGGGCCGGTAGGATGGCTCAGTGAGTAAAAGTGCTTGCTTGCTACCAAACTCGATGACCTGAGTTCAAGCCTCAGAACCCACATTGTACAAAAAGAGAACCAAGTCCCTTCATTAAGTTGTCCTCTGACCGCCACGTGCATAAAATGGTATGTGGTCACCCACATGTGCACACAAGCATGAAACGAGATGGCTCAGTGGTTAAGAGCACTGACTGCTCCTGCAGAGAACTTGGGTTGGAGTCCCAGCACCCTCATGGTAACTAACAACTGTCCTTAACTCCAGTTCCAGGGGAATCCAACACCCTCTTCTGACCTCTGTGGGCACTGCACGACATGGGTGCATTTACATACACGCAGGCAATACACTCATACACATAAAATTAAAAAAAAAATCTTAAAAAACAAATAAAATGTCAGGGATTACATAAGGCAAATGATTCATATTTTAAAAAGGAAATAAAGGTGACTTCAATACAAGCTGTCATGCACACCTGCAATCCCAGCTCTCTGTAAACTGAGGCAAGAAGATCATGAGTTTGAGGCCAGCCTGGGAGTATATAACCAGACTCCTCGTCCCTCCCCTGAAAATCCAAACAGGCAAACTAAAAACATAAAAATAAATAAATAACAAGACGTTTCCTATCACACTGTGGCTGTAATGACATAAGAAATTTCAAGCAAAATACTCATCAATGACTAATAAGACATTATTTTATGATAAAACTACAGTGAAATGAAGCTTATAATAAAATAGTGGAGTTTTGCTGTTGCTGTCTTTAATACACCATTGTTTAAAAGAACAAGGCAGAGGTGGGTGGCTGGAGGGTGGCTCTGCCATCAAGACCACTGGCTGCTCTGTAGAGGACCCAAGTTCTGTTTCCAGCAGTCATGTGGGCTAACAGCCATCTGTTAACTACAGTTTCAGGGCTCTGATGCCCTCTTCTGGGGGATGGAGGCAAAACACCCATACATATAAAATAAAATAAAATTTTTAAAAAGGAACAAGACAGGGCTTGGAGAGATGGCTCAGCAGTTAAGAGCACTTGCTGCTCTTGCAGAGGACCCGGGTTCCGTTCCCAGCACTCACTCCAGTTCAAGGGAACACCCCTTTTTCTGGTCTTTGTGGGTACCAGGTACAATATGGTGCACATTCATATATACAGACTAAATACTAATAAACATAAAATGAAAAATAAATCTTAAAAAATAAAAGTAGCCAGGTGTTGATGTCTTTAGTCCCATCACTCAGGAGGCATAGGCATGCAGAGCTCTATAAGATTGAGGCCAGCCTGGATTACATAGTGAGTTCCAGTCCCAAAGCAAACAAAACAAACAAACAAACAAACATAAACAGTGCTGAGTGTGGTGGCGCACACCTTTAGTCCCAGCACTTGGGATGCAGAGGCAGGCGAATCTCTGTGAGTTCAAGACCAGCCTGGTCTACATAGTGAGTTCCAGGCCAGCTGGGGTACAGGGAGACCCTGTCTCAAAAAAGACCAGAAAACAAACAGATAACCCCCCCCCAAAACAGCAACAAATAATAAAAAGAAAATATCTGGACATGGTAACATATGTTCATGACCCTGTACTTAGGATGTACAGGCAGGAGAACCAGGAGTTCAAGACCAGCCTGGACTATATAATGAACATGAATCCAGCCTGGGCTCCATGAGACCCTGTCTCAAAAGTCTATCAGTACTCACTCTGGCAGCACACATACTAAAATTGGAACAACTCAGAGCAGGGTAACATGGCTCCCACACAAGGATGACATGAACATTTTCGACACAATCCGTATTAAAAAATAAAATTAAATCAGGGTTGGAGAAGTGGCATGGTAGTTGAGAGCACCTGCTCCTCAATTCTGAGAAACAGAGTTTGGATCCCAGCACCCCACATCGCGTGCCTCACAAATGCCTGTTACTCCATCTCTACGGGATCCAATGCCCTCTTTCTGGCCTCTGAGGGCACCTACACACACACACACACACATACACACATAAGTGTACATAAAAAAATAAAAAAACAAAAATAAATAATAAAAAAATAAATCTAAAAGCATCAAACAATGGGGCTGGAGAGACGGCTCAGCGGTTAAAGAACAGTGGTTGTTCTTGCAGAAGACTGGGGTTTGAATCCCAGCACCCCCAGTGCAGCTAATAACTGTCCATAACTCTCGGGCGTGGTGGCAGAGGCCTTTAATCCCAGCACTTGGGAGGCAGAGGCAGGCAGATCTTTGTGAGTTCAAGGCCAGCCTGGTCTACATAGTGAGCTCCAGGACAGCTGGGGCTACAAGCAGACCCTGTCTCAAAAAGACCAAAAAAACAAAACAAAAAAAAAAACCCAACCAACCAAACAAACAAAAAAAAACCCAAAACAAAAAACAAAAAACCAAAACCCAACTGTCTGTAACTCCAGTCCCAGGGGATCCGACAGCCTGTTCTGATCTCTGAGGGCATTGCATGACACGGGTGTACTTACCTACATGCAGGCAATACATGCATACACATAAAAAAAGTTAAAAAATCAAACAAATAAACATATAAGCAAACAAATTAAAAACCTGATCAAAGTTGAAAACTACTCTTTCGTAGTAAACATCGCAACTGGATGGAATATACTGAGAACCAGGGAAGGCTGAAGTCTGAGCCCTGGGCTTACAGCTGTGTTTCCCTAGGCCCACCTGGGGCAAATCTTCAACACATACTCTTCAGGGGAAAAAGATCAAGACTCCCGTCAGACACTCTGACAAGATACAACCAAGCCTGGCTTGGAGGCGCACACCTTTAATCCCAGCATTCAGGAGGGCAGAGGCAGGTGGATCCCTGTGAGATTGAGGCCAGCCTGCTCTACATAGTGAATTCCAGGTCAGCTGTGGCTACAGAGAGACCCTGTCTCAAACCAATGACTGCTATGTGTAATTTCTTTTTCTTTTTTTTTCCTTTTTTTGAGACAAGGTCTCACTGTGTAACCCTGGTTGTCCTGAAACTCACTATGTAGCCCAGACTGTCCTCAAACTCACAGAGATCTGCCTGCCTCTGTCTCCAGAGAGTAGGGATTAAAGGTGTGTGCCACCATGCCTGGCTGCTATGTGTATGTTTAAATGTATAAGAAGTCAGAAAGATCTGGAAGAAGACTCACTAAACCACATCCTCTAGAGACAGGGAAAGTCAGGGTGGTGTTTGCTCTCTACTCTCCTATTGGGCAGGGACGGTGTCCTCTGCTTAGGGGACAATGTACAAAACCAAGGGAGCTCCTCACATGAAGTCCGTCTGGTTTCTCTCTCATCTCCTCTCTCTACTCTCTCCTTTTTACCCCCTCCATCCCTCCCTCCCTCCCTCACTCCCTCCCTCCCTCCCTCTCTGTCTCTCTCCAGGTTCTGGCTGCATATTCCAGGTGGATCTTGAATTCAGTGAGTATCCCAGGCTGTCCTAGATCGTGCTATGTAGCTCGGACTAGCCTCAATCTCAAGATTCTCCTGCCTCCTTTTGAGTGCTGGGATTATTTTCTGTAAAGCAAGACCTTTGACAGTCTTTTTCGTTTGTTATTATGTATTTATTATTTGTGTGGTGCCGTGGATGGAACCCAGGGCCCGGGGCTCATGCCACCACCGTGCTTTGGCAATTCTTATCTTTCTTATTCCTAAAAATGGCAACACAACAACTGATACTCAAAAGATATCCCCTAACAGCAGTTGTTTAAAGCATCCCTGCAAAAGTAATGCCTGTAAAAAAAATCCAGGCCATGTGCTCGGAGCCTCCAGTAGATGGCGAGCAAATCCTATAATTTGGAGGTGATCTAGACTTGAGCTCCTTTCCCCCTTCCACCCCAGCTGGCCACTGAAGCCCTAATTTATGGGTCAAAGGTCACTAAATGGAGGACAGATAATGAAGCTGAACCCCATCCTGTGCCTGTGTCCTGGCTCTCCTCCCCTTATCAGGAATAAAGGCTACATGGAAGGATGGAGAATGTGTGCATTTCTCTTAGGAGAAAAGAAGGAAAAGATGCATTTATTGAACTCACACTGTATACAAAGCTGTAAATGAGCATCATCGAATTAGGCCTCACAGGGATCAATCTGTATGGTTGTAACTTAGAGGACAGAAATATTTTGTGTGAAGACAGGTTTGGTGGCATATGCCTTTAGTCCCCAGCACTAGGGAGCTAGAGGCATGTGAATCTCTGTGAGTTCCGGTTCAGCCTAGTCTATATTGTGAGTTCCAGGTCAATTAGGACTGCATGGTGAGACCCTGTCTAAAAAAAAAGGTGGTGGTAGTGATGGTGGTGGTGGTGGTGGTAGTGGTGGTGGTGGTGGTGGGGTGGAGAGATTGCTCAGTGTTTAAGAGCACTGACTGCTCTTGCAGAGGACCTGGGTTTGGTTTCCAGCACCCACATGTGGCTAACCTGTAACTCCAGTTCCAGGGGATGGAATTAAAGGTGTGCGCCACCACGCCCAGATCTAAACTTAATTTTTTTGTATGTGTCCGACATGCATGCAGGTACCCCTGGAAGTCAGAAGAGGGCGTAAGATCCTCTGGAATGGGAGGTACAGGCAGTTGTTAGCTGCCTGATGCGGGTGTAGGGAACTGAACTCAGGTTCTCTCCAAGAGCAGACTATCCTAGTAACTGCCAATCCATCTTTTCACCCCCCATCACTATGTATTATTAATAAACACAGCAAAGAATAAAAGTGTGATACAAACTTGTCTTATTGCCACCTGACTATGGAGGAAGTCATGGCTGGCCTTAGGGACTCTTCACAAAATGAAGAGGGATCACGTTTGAATACTCTAGTGAAGATCCAGTTCTTAAGGGGCAGTCAACCCTCAGGAAAGGGACTTTTGGCTATCTATTAGAGGGCTTTATGTACAGGTGGCCAGTCAAAGTTGAAAGCCTAGAAGAATGTGGCACAAGAGGTATGTGGCTAACGAGCTGGTGGACAAGTCAGTATGCTCAGCACTTGGGAGTGGGTAGCTGGAGGATCAGGAGTTCAAAGCCAGCTTGGACAGCATGAGGTTATCAGAAAACTAAGAGGGGCCGGAGAGATGGCTCAGCAGTCAGGAGCACTGGCTGCTCTTGCAGAGGATCTGACACCTTCTTCTGACCTCCTTGCCATTGCATGACACGGGGGCACTTACATACATGCAGGCGATACAGTCATACACATAAAATAAAAAATAATAAATAAAATATTAAAAAAAAACTAAGGTGGGGGAGAAAGAGAGAGAGCGAGCGATTCAGCCCCATTCCCTCAGCCTGTGCTGCCTTTGCTTTTGTGTTAGCTGTCTTCCTCTCCCCATAGTCTGAGTGTCCTCGATTGCCGTCCAGCATTCCTAAAAGCTTTTCCTGGACAGTGAATCTGCGTTGCTCACTGTTTGACGTCTTCATTCACATAAATGATCCACAGAACAGCCACACAAGCGGGATGTGCCAGACGCCCAGACAGGAACAAAGGTGGAAGAGAATGCCAGAACACTTGCTTTAACTACAGTTTTTAAATTTATTTTTATTTTATGTGTATGAGTGTTAGGCCTGTGTGTATGTAAGTGCACCCGTGTTGTGCATTGCCTGAAGGGATCAGAAGAGGGTGTCAGATCCCTTCTCTCCTGGGAGGCCCACACACTCGACTCCCAAGCCCCCCTGTGAGGTGAGCTGTGTCCTTCTTGGCTCCCAGACCCCACAAAACCAATACAATGACTTCTATTTTGTTTTTTTTTTGGTATAGTTTATCATGTCTAGAAGAGAGTTACTTAGAAAGGCACACACCCTTGGGCTCTTTCACCTACATCTCAGCTGAGCTTTCAGCTCCGCTCATCCGGCTGAGCACCACTGCCCAAGATGGTGATTTCCTACCACCTCCCTGCTTTGGCCCTGCCTGTCCTTAGAACCATCCTCTCATGCAGTTAAAGCTGACCAGTTGGGTGAGAGGGGTGACTGTCTCCGCCTCTGTCTACAGAGTCTCTTAGGGTTCAGTGCTAGTTCTTTCGGAGGACACACCTATCCAACACCCCGGAACTGGAGTTAAGGATGGCTGTGGGTGCTGGGAACAGAACCCAAGTCCTCCGAAGGAGCAGCCAGTGCTGTTAACTGCTGAGCCATCATTCCAGCCCAGGCCTGCCAAACTTACTGACCCTGACTCAACACAGCCTTTGTCCCTATTCATAATGCTCCCCCAGACCTCACCTTCAAGTGCAATGTCACCTATGTCCCCTAGGCTCAAAATGGCCTTTACTTGTAGAGTGCTAGTTCACACAACTGCTGAGCAGAACTTATTCAGGGAGCTGTGTGGGATATGGTCTTGTTCCCCTCAGCACCCCTTTTTATTGCCTGTTCCCACCCCCCTTAGCTTAGACACATTTCGTATGGAGGAGATCACAACCTTCTCTCAGTAGATCTGACCCATGCAGCTGGCTTTCTAACACCTCTCCTATCCCAGCTGAGCCCTCTGCTTCACCGGTGGTCATGTGAGACCATGTTTCAGCTAAAATGGAAACAAGACCATGCTTTGATAGTCTAATGTCCCCATCACTGTTAATGCCCACACAGCTGGCAGAGATCAGGAGCTCGCTCATCTTTATTGTCAAAGAGACAGGTTTTCCTCTGGTGACGGGAATGCTCTCCATCCTTCCTTACCTGAGCTGCTTTTTCAAGTAGACCGAATTCATGTAAAGATGATGGAGACAGATGAGTTGGGGGAACTTTGACATGAATTGGGTGACACACTCTGGGGAACTGTTTTCACAACAGAAAATATTCTTCTAGTTTCCTGAGAGAGGGTGTTTGTGGAGATTTCTCATTTGGC